CACTCTTTCACCTTATGTTTACTTGGATTAGTGGTCATCCATGCAGGGGATAAATACCGTGTCTTATATTCCTGGAAGCTTAAACAAGAACGAAATAAGTGTATATTTGTATTCTCTAACCACCTTTCAACTGAGAACAGCAATGTTTGAATCTACTACTTGCAATTACCCATTTGAAAGCTGACTCAGAAAATCACTAAATATTAGAGTGAGAGGTCTGTCAGGGTCCTGAGGCCCAAGCCTCATTACATGGAGACAATTGCCAAGGCCTGGAGAGATCAAATGACTTCTTAAACTCATGAGAAATGTGACTGTATGTGTATAAAGAGATACAACCTCTGGATAAATATTTTAAAAAATTAAATTGGTGAATTATTTTGCCAAAGCTTTAGTTGCTTGCAGATATCCAGATGTTTTGGGACTTGTAGGATATGTTCTGAAATGGATGAAAACAGAATTTATCTGCATATAATTTAGATGTCTCACTGTAATCTAATTACTGTAGGTCTGCTTGGTTATGATAATATTTGAGAAACATTGCATTAATAGTATAATTTAGTTAGTAAAATATATGCATATTTAAACTGAAATGGTCCAACATAATATTTTACAAGTTATCTTTATAAATAAATGTCCTGTATAAGGAATTATTATTAATTTTAGTTGTAAGCTAAAGTAATTTTTAGTAGTCTATAATTCTGATATAGTAGAAGTGTTTTTGTTGTTGTTTTAATAGCAGATGTTCTGAGACGTCATATTTTTTTCCATCTTTTTTCTTTCTTTCCTTCACTCTCCCCTCCTGATCTCCTTCCTTCCCTTCCTCCATTATTTCTTCCCTTTTTCTTTTTCCTTTCCTTCTCATAAGCTTAAAATAAAATATTAGCAATGTACTATACACCCTGCCAAATATACATTATCTTTATAAATTGAATTGAGACCTATACCAATTAAGAGAACAAGATATTTAACATTTGGTTCTTATCAGGAGAAATCTCCTAATGTTAAGGCTACCAGATTTAGCAAGTAGAAATATAAGATGCCCAGTTCAGTTGAAATTTTAGATAAGCAATGGATAATTTCTTAGTATATTTATGTTCCATGTGTTATTTGGGACACATTTACACTAAAGTCTTACCCTGGGTTGTGAGGCTACTAGGAACATCTGGCTTATCTGAAATTCAAATTTAACTGAGTGTCCCATATTTTGTCTGGCAGGAAAATTGATTTGGGAAGTAGGTGGACCTGGTTTGAATTGCATATTATATGACATTTGCAAATGGCTAGTGTTTGGGCCTTGACTCTCTGAACTCACCCCGTTACACAGTAATACAAACACGTCTCACAGAGTTGCCTGAGGACGCAGCGGCATCAGGTTCACGAGCCCTTGGCATTAGGAGGTGCTGATCTGGGGTGGCTCTCCTTCCTCACAGAGGTCCTTGGGGACCCTCCTAGCTCCTCCCTCATGCTGGGGTCTCTTCCTCTCCAAGGAGTTGAACAGAGGCTGGCAATTACACAGGATTGTGGGAACTGTGATCGTTTTGCAGACATTATTTTCTGGATATTTTTCCTCCCATCTCCCGAAGAGAGTAAAACGTATAAATTAGAAACAGGCTGTTGACCTCTTGCAGTTCGCTGGGCAGCGTTTCATGACAGAAGATTTAAGGCTGTTTAAAGATGTGCTCTGAATTCTACTGGGAGCTCATTTTTATTAAACTCTAGTTTGGTTTCATTTCCTTGCTCAGCTTCAAAAGCAAAAAAAAGACAATAAGGGATTTAAACTTAAGTAATTTTCTGCAATTAAAGTCTTCTGGAATTTTAAAAAGCCCAGTTACATTGGCATTTGCCAAATGTAAATGCATTTTCCACTGGCTGAGCCAGGAGGAGTTGGGTTGGCAGTAAGCCTCTCAAGGACCTGATGGTGCCTCTGTATTCACCAGCAGAGGCATTCGGGGTGCCGGGTCTGGCCCTTCTGACCCATGGTGGCCCAAAAGGCTGCCTTCTCCCAGGGGCCCTGTGTGTACACAAGTCCTCCCAGCCTTGGTGTCATATATGTTGAGAAAAAAAGGAGCTCAAAAATAGAGGCAGGAGCAAAGGAAAGTGTAGCTCTTTGCAACAGCAGGAGTGATGATTTTCCTGAATGCAGTTGTCTGGTAGTATTCTTTTGCATTGATCTTGTCTGGTGAGGTCACACCTGCATGCATATCAGATGGCCTCAAGCCGCATGTAGACTCTCAGGCTCCAGGGAGGGTCTGCAGAGGGGCGGACTCAAGACTGGAAAACCCTGCCTTGGATTTCAGTTACTTCCAGGTGTCCAAGAACTTTGCAACACAATATATTATTTTTTAATTTAAATTCTTTTCAAAAAAATTTTTGGCTGCACCCCACAGCATGCAGAACTTCCCGGACCAGGGGTTGAACCTGAGCCCCCTGTGGTGGAAGCATGGAGTCTTCACCACTGGACCACCAGGGAAGTCCGACAATAATTTTTAAATGCCAGTTATAATACTGATGATAATAGTAAGAAGGAGAGTAATCATAATAGTATAATAACAGCACTACTGACTCATGGGTTTCTGTACTCCTTGTGTGTGAGGGGTTGTACCAAGCCCCTCACACACATTATACCACTTGCTGATGAGAACACCCAATTCCCGCTGCATGACATGACTTGTCTAAGGCCACATGGGCTTTGGTACCCTAACCTGATGTAGCAGGACCTCCTTATGAAGAACTGAAGAATGATGGGCTCCTACATTTCAAATTCAGTCCCATGACATCACCTAATAATCCCGCCCCAAATACTAAATTGTGGAATAATGTCACTTGGCTTAAGAATAGTTTTATAAATGTAAAATATGAAAGTTCTAGAAGAAACAGGACCTTTTCTAATCCTAGGTGTTTCTACAAAAAACAAAACAAAACAAAACAAAACAAAAACCAAACAAAAAAAACAAAAAACAACCATGCTCCTAAACTGAATGGCTAACAAATGAAGCTGGGGTAACTGGCCTGCATTCTCTCCAAAGACCTAGTTTTCTTTATCCATGAAATTCAGCTTCCACGTTTACCTCTCATCCTGGGAGGATAGGCAGGCAGCTCTTGAATAGGATGTTATCACAGCGGCTGGAACAGCACAACAAACAAAACAACCCAACAAAAGTGACAGCTAGAACCTGCTCAGAGCCAGAGGCTGCAGGTGCAGTTGCTAAGAACTTGGTTCCTGAGCAAATACCTCAACTCTCATCTCCACTGCACTGTAACCAGCTGGGTTACAGGGCCTCAGTTTCCACATAAAAGGAGGTAGCAAAGATATCTACCTTATAAAATTTTGTGAGGATTGAGGGTTAATAAACACACAGCACATTGAACATCAATATTAATTATTATGTAAGTATTAGTGATCGTTAGACTAAATGATTTAATATAGATTAAAGCTCTTAGGGCAGTGACCAGTGTTTAGGAGAACACTATGTAAGTTTTATTATTAGAGAGACACTAAGTTGTTTAGCTTTCTTGGGATGAAAGGAAAGCTTCAAGTCATTTGACTTGCTCCATTCTTGTCCCGTCTGGATGACTAACCAAGTTCAAACACATCATTGGCTAGAAAATAAACCATGGATTGTTGTATCTGGAAGGACCATGGATTGTTGTATCTGGAAGGGATCTCACACATTTTTTCCTGGCACTGCCTTTGTCTTCAGGAGTAAAAGGAAATGGAAATGGCTTTTCATTGGTTCTTCCACAAAGTGCCATCTGCTTTTATGTAGCTTTTTTTTTTTTCTTCACATTTAAAAAAAGTTTTATTGGTGTCAACCATTGCAGTTGCTTTTAGCTGCTGAGCTCCATTCTCATATGCAGGACAACATGTTGGGAGGGAGACACAAGAGGGAGGAGATATGGGGATATATGTATATGTATAGCTGATTCACTTTGTTATACAGCAGAAACTAACACACCATTGTAAAGCAGTTATACTCCAATAAAGATGTAAAAAAAACCAAAAACTAACTGAGGGCACCATGTTACTTAGCTTTTTAATTGTATTCTCCATTTTCACATAAGTGTGACCTGAAGTTAAGAGATAAAATTCCAGAGACAAAATGGTGGGCTCCAGTCCAGATATGAACATTGGTATGCTGGAAGCAGATTTTAAAACAATTTCTCTTCAAAACACCTTTTTCTGGACCACCTGATAGGCATCCTGATACACCAGAGCTGAAGCAGCAGCACAGTGGGTGATATCAAATAGGGCTATTTGAGATATAGATTTCTAATCCAAAGAGTGTTTGTAACAATGGAAAAGGTGAGAAAAGCTAAATGTCCATCAGGAGGGGAATGGATAAATGATGACGGGGCATTATATTGCATTTTTCATAGGTTTATGTTATTTTTCTCTTCCAGAAGGTTATTATTGCAAAGTAGAGTTTGATTTGACATCTGATAGCAAGATGAGAGTATGTTATCACCCTTCTGTGGATGTTCCATATGAACACAAAAAACCTATCCCTGGATCAGATCCTGTGCATAATAATGAGGAAACACATGATCAAGTGCAGAAAAAAACAGATGAGAAGGAAAAGGTAAATGTTGTGTTCAAGAACCATGATAGAACAATTTAGCAAAATGTTCTTTACTACCAAGCATCATTGATACTCTGGTGGACTGTCCCACAGCTGTCACAAAAAACTGGATCCTCTCAAATAGTGGTGATATTGAAGTTCTCTTGAATCACAGAGAAATGTTGCCCTGTGCTTTGTTTGCCATTTGAGAAAATGCAACCTGGTGTAGTCACTAATATATCATATAGTAAAATAATAGAATGTCTTTTCATATGTTAAAAAAAACCATAAAAATTTCAGCCAGTAAGTGGCAGATCTGAGATCTGAAATCCATCTGGGTGATTCCAAAGAGCTCTTTTTTTTTTTTTTTTTTTTCTAAACTATGCAGCATAGATTCTGCCTAACCCAGGAGAGGCTGGCCTAGATCTGCTGACATGAACTCAATGTAGGTTTTCAGGGACCATGAAGGCTTTCATAACATGAGCACAGACTGGGCACATGTAGCAGGCATGGTTATACAGATCCCCATTATGGTTAAAACACCTCCCCTTTCCTCTTAGTTATCTCCTAAGGATAACTGATAATTAAGCCATTTGGTGTTCTATAGCAGATATCTTCTAATTGTCTTCATTACCCTTATTAGAGTCAAATTCCTAATAAAATTTTAATTTCTGTTGAACATTAACAATAATAACAGCCCTCCTCTTTCCAGTCCCTCCTCCAGTGAAGTGTGGTTTGGGTAGGGAATGAAATGTAGATGTAGTCAAACACAGACTTGTGTTATCTTGTTAGGTTTCTGTACTTGAAGGCTTATAGGAATTAGAAACTGATTAGTCATGTAGCTCTAATTATTAAGAAAGTTTCAGGCTGAAGCCAACTGCCCTCTGGTAGTAAAAAATGTCTGTGAACAGCATAGACATTACTTCAGCACCCTACATAGATTCAATTTGTATATAAACTCAAATTCTTAGGTACACTGTGGCATTTCTGGTAGCATTTGCCTACAAAGTTAAATAGCCAGGAAAATCCTTTTAAATTGTATCTGGTAAAGTGTTGTCAGTTGAAAATTAATATTCTTCCCATTCCATGTTTCATCATAACTTCATAGTCCCGGACTGGCTTGGTTCTGCCCTATCTCTTAAGAATTGATGACAGGAAGTGGTGCCTGAATTCAGTGCCAGGAGCAGGCCATGTGCAATCCATTTTTATGTTTTAAGTGCTTCCATAATCAGACACAGCTTCAATTAGGAAAGTTGGTATAGGTTTTTCATTTTCATGTGGTGTTTCGTCAAGCACTAGGGATAAAAATGGAAACCAGTAATCCCTAGGGGAAGCACACATTTTCATTTATCTGGGAGGCCACTGGGCATCAAAGTCCAATTGGATCGTTGGGTTGTTTCTAAATGTGGAAGATAGTTCCTGAATCTCTTCTCAAGAGATGCTATGTGAAAATACTGGGGATTATTGGTCAGCTGAAGTATACATTTTCTTCCATAAGTAGAGTTCAGAGAAGCAGCCTTTACTTAATGAAGTGAGAATACCTAACTAGTAACAAATGTTAAAGTAATTAAAAAATAATAATTTGGAACCTCTACCCCTAGTCTTACAAAAGTTCTTCTTTTGTAAGTGGCTTCTTTGCTGTCTTCCATTCTTCAGTGCTTGGATAAACCTGAATCTATTTACTTGAAAGTCAATTCCAGTCAACCAGAAGGTCATGATGCATCTTAAATTCTAGGATGCTAAGGGGATGGGGTCTGGCCTCACATTCAACTGGTGGAAAGAGCTGTATAATCTGATAAAAGATACACATTGTGGCTAGTGCCTACAACAAAAACATTGTGCTAATATCATGAGCATATCACGTGAGGGATCTGTAAACTCTGATGGGGAGAGTTTCATCGAGGAACAGGTATTTGAGGAGGACCTTGCAGGATAAGAGGGATTTTCCTGACAGACACAATTAAGGGAAGGGCATTCTCCATAGGAAAAATAAACAAACGGTTGAACTATTTGTTCAGCGATGATTGGGTATTTCTCTGGATGGAGTATAGGTGGTGTTGAGGGAAATAGCAGGAAATGGCGTGGATTGGCAGGCTGGGCGAGGCCCCTGGGGGATTCACACCCATAGCTTGGGCAGCATCCCTGAGGCATGAGTTGGCAGTGCTTCTGAAGGTGGTGTGTGGTCAGTGAATAAGGAAGGGAGTGCTTTTGGACAGTTTTCTTCTGCTAAGGTTAGCTTTTATCTTTGCCAGGACAAGTTTCCTGAGGAAAGACACAAAGACATCATAAAATATCTTTATTCCATCCTATGGTTCCAACAGAGCCAATTTATCATAAATTTTCTGTTTTAAAATAAAATTATCATAGTCTCTCATTTGTCTGTGGCTCAAGAGCTATGAGACACATTCATCTTTTCAGTGGTGCAATACATACATGATTTTATTTTTTCCAATAAATGTGATTCATTTGATGCATAAATAAATGTCACTTAATTTTATTCAATGTAACTTAAAATTTATATACTATGGTATGCTATGTATCTTTAAGTATAATAAAGAAATCTTATTTTTATATTGCTTGTTAATTTAAAAGTTACAAAAATGTCTTGATGTTTAGGAATGCTTTCAGCTACAAATAATTAAAAATATGCTTTATACTGATTTAACAAGTAAGGATTAATTTTTTATCCAAGACAGGAAGCTCAGAGAATGGCAGTTGCTAGTATTGATTCAGCTGCTTAACAGGGCATCTTGGACTGAGCACCTTCTAAACCATTCTTATCTTGTTGGTCAGTTGTGCTCACATTGGTGTCTCCTGGTTAGACTGTGATTGCTTCAGATGCAGTTATCATCTGTGGGCAAGACAGGGAAAAGGAAGAAGAGAACCAGTGTGGAAGCCTAACAGTGGAAGAAGTGCCCACTCTTCCCCCACATCTCATTGGCTGTTCTTGACTGGAGGTGGTCTGGGAAAGTGCCAACTCTCTAGAGTTGACAGTGACAAAAGGAAGGTGGTATGGAATGATTAATTGGGGAGTGAACCAATAAGCCAAGGTTCATTTTAGTTTTTTTGGTTGTACAGATGGGGAAACTGAGGTTTGCATGAATTGCACAAATTCCCATACCTTGTCAGTGATAAAGACAGGAAACAAACTCATGACTTCTAAACTATATTTCAGATCCCATGACTTTTTCTGAAATCCTAGCTCCTAAAAAGGATTCTTTTCATTGAGCATATTCTTAATCTTCCTCCTTTATTTGGAAACTTGAAAAGGGCACACACTAAGATCCTCAGATGAGCACTCCTGGATGCTTAAGGGGCAAGACTGGTTGCTGCAGGATCACCTGCTGGTTTGGGAGGAGTTTTTCTGTCCTGTGATGCACTGCAGTATGGATGCTTCTGCATTCCTGTATCCATCTGTGGCCAGTCTTCACCAGGGCTTTCTGTATTTCCTTTTACCTTAGAAAACACTATGTTTTTTTCTTACAGCCTTTCTCATATTTGCCATGTAGGGTTAGTTAAATCCTGTGTTTCCCTTTGTTAATTGATGACAAGCTTTGTGGATGTTCCTTCATTCAGGAAGGTTTATTGTTGGAGTGAAGTCCAACTCTCCTAATTCCTAGGATGACTCCCAAATGCTGATTGTGTCTACAACTTACCTGGAGCTTGGACATTTAAAATGGGGACAATGGTCCTCAATACCTAATATTGGAGATGAGTTTCTACGATCATTATAAGTGAACTCACTTTCATTGAATAGTAATTCTCAAGAATTACGATACATGAACATAGGTTTTCCAGTTGGGCAAAAAGGTCAAAAAATTTCTTTATTTTTGCATGCTTAACCTAAACTGGTATCTAGAGTTCCAAACAACCTAGTCCTCAATTACCTGATCTTACCAATTCAGGCTAATATCAGACACATCAGAGATTTCTCGAGCAATTTAAAATTGCTCCCTCTTCTCTTCTCTGAAAGGTGGCATCATGGCTACTTCTGGGGTATTAAGACATCAGAGATACCTGTGTGTGTGGCTTCTGTCTTCTACCACCATCAGCTAAGATGTACCTCATCCACTCTAGCTGTGGGCTGGCATATCTTTTGCTACTGGTGCCTTTGTTCTTCCTCCTATCACCAGGTCCTCACAAGGGTCCTGCTGTCCCTCCCAGCATCAGACATTCTCAGGTCTGTTATTCTTCTCTCAGTGACATCTGACAGAGACACATTGTCTCTCTCAAGGATAGCATTTTCCATATGCTTTTGTATAATGCTCTGGGACTAGCAGAAACCCAGAGAATGGTTTAACTTCCTCTACCCAGACACATGTTACTACCACAGCTGTGCTTTCTTTTGCCCACCAAGTTGTTGCAAGGGTCTTTTTTTTTTTTAAAAATTGGCCCATCTAGGTTGTCACAGAGCACCCAGCTGAGCTTTCTGTGCTTTATAGCATGTTCCCACTAGCTATATATTTTACACATGGTAGTGTATATATGTCAATCCTAATCTCCCAATTTGTCCCATCCTCCTCATCCCCCACTGTGTCCACATGTCCATTCTCTACGTCTGCTTCTCTATTCCTGCCCTGCAAGTAGGTTCATCTGTACCATTTTTCTAGATTCCACATATATGTGTTAATATATGGTATTTGCTTTTCCCTCTCTGGCTTACTTCACTCTGTATGACAGACTCTAGGTCCATTCACATCTCTACAATCGTTCCTTTTTATGGCTGAGCAATATTCCATTGTATTTACCTACCACATCTTCTTTATCCATTCTTCTGTCATTGGACATTTAGGTTGTTTCCATGTCCTGGCTATTGTAAACAGAGCTGCAATGAACATTGGGGTATGCTAGGGTCTTTATCATGTTTTCAGTCTCTTAGATTTACAAATCCCCTCTTCCCCTAGATCCCCAATCTTCTCCCTAACCCACACACATGTGACTCTCCAGCATCGCAGCAATTTTCTCCTCTTTCCCAAAATTCTCCTCTCTCAAGGTTGCCCTTTCTGTGTCACTTGGGTTTTGTTTGTTGTGGGGAGGCTATTTGTAAATGAGACTATTTACAGTTACTTTTTTCAGAGTTTAAAATAATATCTGATCTCTTAGCTTGTAAATTAAAAATATAGCTTTTCCAATCCTGGAGAACACAGCAGTAAGCTTGGAAATTAATAACAACATCCTTCACATCAGGATCCAGGGTCCCAGAAATGGACTGGCTCTGATGAAGGTCATTTTGTCCTGACACCGAAAGTGAAGTAAAAGCAGCTTAAATTAACATGATGATCAAAGTACTTGAATGTAAACAAAATATGGCAATTTGAAAATATTCTTTAGATAGTAACTTGGTATAATTCAAATGTATGGAATAAGTATGAAGAAATTCTGACAAAATGTACATGTCTGATTAAGAAGCAGAGTCAAAATACCTTGACAAAAACAAATATTTTAGAACTCAAACTGTACTCAAATATTTTTATTTTCCCAAAATAATTAAATAATAAAAATGGAAACAAAATATATATATATAGCTTTTCTTAAAAATTAAGAGCAGGACTTCCCTGCTGGTGCAGTGGTTAAGAATCTGCCTGCCAATGCAGGGGGCACAGGTTCGATCCCTGGTCCAGGAAGATCCCACATGGCATGGAGCAATTAAGCCCATGCCACACAACTACTGAGCCTGTGTGCCACAACTACTGAAGCCCTTGAGCTTAGAGCCTGTGCTCTGCAACAAGAGAAGCCACTGCAGTGAGAAGCCCATGCACCGCAACGAAAAGTAGCCCCCACTCGCCGCAGCTAGAGAAAACCTGCACGCAGCAATTAAGACCCAACACAGCCAAAAATAAATAAAATAAAATTATAAAAAAAGAAAAGAAAATGCAGCAAGGCTGTCAATTCTCAGAGAATTCTTAAAAAAAAAAGTTAAGAGCAAATCTTCTTTCACACATGAATCTAGTAGACTTTATGTTGACTTAAAACTTAACAGTTATCGTTTTAATTTTCTTAAAATTCTAGCTCCATTTCCAAGCACATTTAAACATCTTTAACTTTTTCGAACTGAAATTAGAAACTTAATGTTTCGGATTGTCTAACTCCATACCGCAAATATGGAAGCCTTAATAATCTAACAAATGCTTTCTAGGTTGCAGGCTACTTACCTATCTGATATACCTGTGCTTACAATTATAACAAATCATATTGGACTAAACTTTTTTTTTTTTTTTTTTTTTGCGGTACGCGGGCCTCTCACTGTTGTGGCCTCTCCCGTTGTGGAGCACAGGCTCCGGACGCGCAGACTCAGCGGCCATGTCTCACGGGCCCAGCCCCTCCCCGGCATGTGGGATCTTCCCAGACCGGGGCACGAACCCGTGTTCCCTGCATCGGCAGGTGGACTCTCAACCATTGCACCACCAGGAAAGCCCAGTTCTTCCTCTTTTAATTTCAGGTTGGGAAGTTTCTATTGACATACCTTTAAAATCACTGATTTTTTTTTTTTCTCAATCATGTCTAGTCTATTGATGACACCATAAAGACATTTTTCATTAATGTGACAGTTTTTAATACATGAAATTTTCTTCTGATTATTTCTCAGAGTTCCCCATCTCTCTGTTTACATTACTCATCTGTTTTTGCATGTTGTCTACTTTTTCCATTAACACCTTTGACATATCTGAGTATGGTTCTGATGCTGTTTTGTCCTGTCAGAATGTTGTTCCTTGTCTTCTGGCATGACTTGTACTTTCTCAATGAATGCTGAACATGTTGTATTGAGGAATTGAATTGTATTGGCCTTTAGTGTGAGAATGTATGTTAATCTTTCTTGGACTTAGGCAGCATTTAATTTGTTTTAGCTAAAAATGCCAGAGTCTTTACATTGCTCCTCTGTCCTAATGTTGGTCTCCTCTTTTAACTTTGAGCTCTCCTGAAACTCCTCCTTAGAAGAAGTCTGCATCTTTCAGCTGTTTAAGCTATGATCCACTGTGATTACACTGGATCCCTGCTGGTATGGTGGTAATGAGTAGGTGTGGGGAAGCATTTTATAATCTGATGACTAAGTCTCAGGCTTTTAGTGTGCACATGTGCTGGGCTGTTACCTTCACAATTGTTTTCCCCATCACAGGTAAGACAGAAAGATGAGAGGGGGCTGGGTTGGGAGGAATGATCTTCCCTCACCTGTGATATTGCTCTGATAATGTGTTGTGTTTGTTTGTTTGTTTGTTTTCTTGGAGAGTAGATCATTTTCATGGAGAACACTCTGGGATTATTTCACAATTTTTGCACAATCATTCCACAATTTTTTTTTTTTTTTTTTTTTTTTGCGGTACGTGGGCCTCTCACTGTTGTGGCCTCTCCCGTTGTGGAGCACAGGCTCCGGACGTGCAGGCTCAGCGGCCATGGCTCACAGGCCCAGCTGCTCTGCAGCATGTGGGATCTTCCCGGACCGGGGCACGAACCCGTGTCCCCTGCATCGGCAGGCGGACTCTCAACCACTGCGCCACCGTGGAAGCCCTCCACAATTTTTTTAAACCTCCTCCTTTAAAAGCCATGAAGTGATCTTTCTTAGATCATCACAGTGAAAACCTCATGGTGAGCTTGATGATAAAATTCCAAAAATGTTTTGAGAAACCCTCAGGTTGCAGCTTCTGGATCCGTCATCCTCACTAGTTCACATGCTGATCTAGTTCACACTCAGCCTCCATCAATGTGTCAAAATTATTACTGAACTGTTCCTACCAGTTTATGGCTCCAGTGACTTCTGCTCCTAGATCTTGGTAAGCAGATCTTAGCCATGACTCTAGATTTTCTTGTTCCTCCAGATTGTGGGGTAGTGTTTCCCCAAAACCTTATTTTCCTAATGGGTCAAAATAAGTCGTTGATGATTAATTTGTTTAGCTTTTTCTAAATGTAAGAATGAGGGTGATAAAATTCAAATTCTTTATTACAGAACCGAACCTGG